AGCAGTTTGATATGAAGGACTTAGGTGAAGCAGGACACATTCTTGGTATTAGGCTCATTAGAGATCGTAAGAAGAGAATGTTGTGCTTATCCCAGTCTTCATACATAGATACTGTCTTGGCCAGATTTAGCATGCAGGATTCCAAGAAAGGTATGTTACCTTTCAGACATGGAATACATCTATCTAAGGAGATATCTCCTAAGTCGTCTAAGGAGATAGAGGAGATGAAGACGGTTCCTTATGCTTCGGCAGTAGGAAGTCTCATGTATGCAATGCTATGCACAAGGCTTGATATTAGCTACGCCGTTGGCATGGTAGCTAGATATCAAAGTAATCCAGGACGGGAACATGGTCTGCGGTGAAGCATATACTCAAGTACCTAAGAAGGACTAAGGAGTACATGTTAGTTTACCGTGCAGACAGCTTGGTACCTCTGGGTTACAGTGATTCCGATTTTCAATCAGATAAGGATGAAAGTAAGTCAACCTCAGGTTATGTGTTTACCTTGGGAGTGGAGCCATTTCATGGAGGAGTGCTAAGCAGAAATGCGTGGCAGACTCCACCATGGAAGCCGAGTACATAGCAGCGAAAGAGGCAGTTTGGCTCAGGAACTTCTTAGTGGACCTAGAGAGTTATACCGAGTTTGCCACGTGGTATCACCGTGTACTGTGATAACAGTGGAGCAGTAGCGAACTCAAAAGAACCTCGAGCCCACAGGGCAAGCAAACACATAGAGCGCAAATACCATCTGATTCGGGATATTGTTGGTAGAGGAGACGTTGATGTTGCCAAGATTGCGTCAGAGGACAACCTAGCTGATCCTTTCACGAACAGTTTGCCGGGAAAGGTCTTCGTCAAACACGTGGAAGGAATGGGAGTCATGAGCATGGCAATAGGATCGACATAGGTCTTTTAGAATAACGGATTGATAGGACTATACTGTAAAAGCGAAAGCTTTAAGTATAAGTGGGAGATTGTTAGAAAGCTTGGCTTTGCATGTTATTACACATTTACCCTTTATGAATGAGAATCATGTTAGATTAAACAAGTTCTACGTTCTGTTGTTCTGCACTTAGATAGGGTGGGTCGTCATCGGGCGAACCGAAGATCACTCTATCAGTCACTTGCGAACAAGAATAGTTGTTCACAACCTAGATGGACATGAACACCCCATCCGAACGGTTGTAGTGTCAACTGTACAGTTTGTCTTGACTGATTAGTTGCACTAGTACATTTATGTATTGAACAGGATCCCAGAGAGGAGAAGTTCATTTTATACTGATCGTCGTAAATGAACTAGGCCTCGGTTAATTACTGTGTTCTCTTAACCCGTAAGATATTAAACAGACAGATATATATAATATATATTACTTTGATTCACATAGGTGAGGTCCAGTTCGCTGGATTAATATTCCTACTGTTTTGGGTAATATTATTATATATAGGATGTGCTGTTAGGATATTTACGGTCACCATGTGCGTTAGTTTGATGATGTCCCCGGAGTGAGTTCATGAAGGATTGTTATGCTAAACCCTGCAGGTGGATTAAATTCCGGCATAATAAGAATGTGATGAACGAGCGCTAGCTTCGGTGAAATAATAATAAATTAATTAATTCTTGATTGTCAGTAATCGAATTAATTAATGGACATTATATCTTAAACGTGGGGAGGTAAATCGAGTAATTATTATTGGAGTCTCAAATGTAATTTGGGCTAGGGAAAGGGAGTGCAATAATATAATGTTGGTGGCCCATTAATATTATTTAATTAATTAGAGGAGTGAGTTTGGCCCACAGTTAATCTAATTAATTAAGGAGCCATTTTCCTAATCTCCTTAGGGTCCCTACTGTAGCTCTATATATACATCATTAAGCTCATGAGAAGAGAATCCCAATCCTATTCACACGTGAATAACGCCGCCCATCTCTCTCTCTCTAGATCTCATTCGAGCTTTATCTTCTTCTTGTTGCTCCACTGGTACAAGTTGAAGAAGGGTGTATTGAGTAATACAGTAGAAGATCTGTAGGTAAACCGAGACAAAATAGATTTTGACCTACAGAACTAACCGGAAGTCCGATTGAGACGTACAGCATACCCAGACGACCGTCTCGACGAGAGCTTTCCATCGCCGCCAACGTCGCCGGAATCCGACGCCGCACGCGCCCTCACTCGCCGCCGGAAAGTGTCTGGCAGCAAAATTTCGTTTTGATCTGTTTGCATCCGTTTGATCCAGTTTTGATTTGATCTTGTTCGTGCAACCCAAGACGCGTGTTGCGGTCAATCAATTGCGGTCAACCGTTCGTGGTCAACCAGATCTACATAAATTTTAAGCCGTAAGTTCTCTACGTCAAACCTTTAGATCTGCTGCGCATAGGTTTACGTTTGCTATTGAATTCGTGATTTGTACATAATGAGATCCTCACAGATCCCAACATTTGGGCCCACTACCCCTCCATGTGTGCTAATAGATATTATGGATCCACTAGATAGCCACATGAGTATGTGATTTACGTAACCTGAAGTTTTGAGATGATTATGAAATAATGAAAAATAAGTGTCATATGAAAGTGATAAAGCTAGAAATATACTCAACTGATATGATGAATACTTGAAAGAAAAATGTGCATATTACAAGTGATATAAGTTCAAAGTTTTCATATTATATATTGAAATCGAGAACGAAACGGAGACTATATGAACTCCCCTCAAGAAATTCAAAATACAAATCAGGGATTTGTTAAGATGAGGGAGAGATTCAATGATTGAAATTTGTAAATGATACATTTATCACACTAGAAGTGTGCAAATAAAATGAATGATACTGATGATGGTAAAATATATAAAATAATATGATGGTGGAATAATACGCTGGAAGCGTTGGTATTGGTATCATACAAATTATGGAAATACTATTATATGGAATACGCGTTGTACTCTTTCTCCCTTGCCTGAGGTTTTGTCCCATTGGGTTTTACCAGCAAGGTTTTTAATGAGGCAACATAGATGGCGTATTCACATGAATAGTGTACTTTTTTTCCTTAATTAGGATTTTGTCCCACTGGGTTTTACCTAATAAGGTTTTAACGAGGCATATTCATGGTATAATGAGGAATACTTGAAAATTGATATAATTCCTCATGATGAGAAGAAAACACTGGAGTAGTTGTACTCTTTTTCTTTCGATCAAGTTTTTCCCACTGGGTTTTCTTGACAAGTTTTAACGAGGCAGCACGTGAATACTCCACTAAAGATGATCTATTTGAGGGGGAGCAATGTTATGCTTCTGCAGTGCTCAGGTTTTGTCCTAACAGGTTTTCCTGAGTAAGTAATGATGTGATTCCAAAATATTCAGGTTTTGTCCCACCGGGTTTTCCTGACATACTGAAGCACCAGTACATGATGGCCACAAGATACAATTCAAGATGTTCAGATTGAGCTTTGCCCAAATTAGTTAATTATTTTTAGAAAATAGTCATTGAAGGGGGAGTGTTATAAATATTTGTATGGTATGGTAGTTAAACCCACCATCACCAATACATATTATATTATTAAATAATGTATATGAATGACTATTTTGCCCTTGATGTAATTGTATTATTACGATTATGCCATCAGAAGTTTTCCTATAAATAGGAGCTTCAGTTATAATGAAGAGACAACGAAAAGAGAGCATTCTCTATATTCTCTCTATTTCTCTCTTGTTTTATAACAGTAACAACATTTCCTAGCAGAAAACAAAGAAGTTTATCATATTACCTTATCATCCACAAGTATATTATTCCAATAGCTATGTGAAGAGTAACGATAATAATACCCTACAAGGATCAGCATCATATTTATAAGAAACTAACGGTCCCTTTTTGGGGCCAACCTATACTATTAGGGTCAGTTTGCGAGTTGATGGATGATTATGATAATAGAAGGATCGGATCTGCTCCCCTATTCACGCTGGGCAAGGAATTAATATGCCCACTGTTTATGTGGCATGTACACATTGGGCATATTAATTCTCTCTCACTGCTTTTGTCCAATGTGTACATGCCACATAAACAGTTGGCATATTAATTCCCTGCTCGCCGTGGGTAGGGGAGCAAATCCCATAGAAGGATTAAGTAGTTTTCCGCAATATCTAATATTTGGGTGTCCTCGATATGGCTAATTATATTTATACTATTCAGCCTCCTTCCTTCAAATGTGCGGATTTGCGTTCAACAATGAGAAAGGAAAAGATTCTAGGTCGACGAAGATTTTATATATCTCCATTTCAAGGAAATCAAAAAGGATCTCCTCCATTGAGAACATAAGCATTTTCTTCTTTCAACTTAGAATACATACCAACTCCGGTTGCAATAATGAATTGAGCATGATATAACAAAATCAAAGGTTATCCATCAATTCAATTAGTCCATTAACTTATTTGGTTTAGGATTGAAAATTATATTCTTTAAGTTGAAATTACTTTTGTACCATTCATTTAAAATTAATTTTTCATAATTTTGCACTAAAGTGTTACACGAAACACACCCCCGAGTTTGCTCACCTCCTCATCATTCCACACCGATCACCGCCAATTGGATGTGTTCAACACAAAATTAATCTCAATACCTAATCACACAAAAGGACCACAATTCACTAAACCGCAACACAAAATTAATCCCAATACCTAATCACACAAAAGGACCAACCGCAAAATTGATTGAATCAGAAAAATATGGGGGACCAGCAAGGAGGAAGTTTTGGGTGGAGGTCTCAACGGGTAGGATGCATCAGATGAAAAGGAAGGCACAGAAAATGAATATGGGTATTTTGAGTGTTAATGATTTGATGATAAATGATACCCATTCCACCACAATGGTAGGATACAGAATAATTGAAAAAGAAAAAAGCAGCCGAGCTTTTGCAAGTTTCACAGAGCAACCAAACAAAATAAACAACTTAATAGTAACAAATAGCAAGATATCAAGCCTAATAATCCCAACCGCACGCAGCCTCAGAAGATATTAATACAGCAACTAAAATCTGAGTAAAAATTTATCATACTATGGTGATAGAGATTAGTCACATCACACAAGCAAGCAAGCAAGCATAAATATATCATAAGTATTAAAAGAAAAAAAGGCTTACACCATTGGAACATGTCAACAACAGATTTAAATGGTCTGACAAAAAACCACCAAGTTAAATAACCATACTGAGCCATGGAAACAAAACATATATAATCCAATATAAAATCTTTTGTTCTACAACCGAAAATGTGAAAATACGTCAAAAATCAAGAATCACAGCATAAACACTATCCTTCAATCTCTCTATTCTCAGTGTTCACCAGGCAACGACTTTATGATGTCCGAGTCACCTAACATTATCAAGAATATAGATAAAGCCAGTTAACAAGTGTAAATCAAAGGAAAAAAACAATAGTAAGAAGCAATAAGTCTATATTTGGTACCTGGATCAACAATGCTGAGGCAAGACACACGGAAGTACTTTCCACAGGCAGTCCCCAAGTCGACGTTATCTGTATTTGTAATGAATTAGCAGTCAAAACAAAATCATTTTCCTATATTCGGTTAATTTATCTACACAGTAAAGGTATTTGTTTTATCATTTCATTGATAAACCATCTATACCAATTTTATACGACAAAAATTACTCCTAAAGCACTTTATGAAATAGACAAGGATCTCAATTCATGACAAGCATTGCAATTAATACCCTTTTAATGTCCATCACATATATACGCACTCAACCCACCATATACTATTCACATTTTCCATATGTTTAATTAGTGAATAAAACAGAGCTAAAAGCTATAAACAGGTCACAAGCAGCTACATGGTGTTACACAATATATCCACAATACAAAAGCTACTTTGAACCTCAACATAAAACACAAAGCAAAAGTTACATGAACCCTCAACATAAAAGACATTTACACATCAAATGTATCCAATTAGTCGACTCTCACGACAACTATCAAGTGATTATGAATGGAAGATAGCAAGTAACTGCAGCTCTCCATAAAAATTAATAATAAAATCATAACATGCCAGGGGAAATGATACTAAAACCAAATATAAACACAAAAGCTCTGCCTCTGCCATCAAGTTTCTTTAAACAAATGCCACAAGTTGCATACAAAAAATTCAAATTAAGAAAATGATCAAACCAAATATTAATGAATCCTTTACAATACATACTGAACTCTGCTAGAATGCTGAAATTACAAACAAGATTAAAACTCTGAGGCTTACTTCCATTATAGTGGTGAACGCCAACTTTTGCAAGCATAGCATAGTACTCGATTTCGGATTTCCTCAACGGCGGGCAATTGTTGGAGATAAGAATCAGCTTGCCTGAATTAAATAAATTTTACAAATCCAAATCGCAATCACACTTTCAGCTAGATGAATAATAAAGATCAAACACAAACAATTTCAGGAAAAATTAAGGATAAAAAAGGGACCTTTGGAGTTGCGAAGGGTCTTGAGCACGGTCTTGTACCCGAGCGTGTACTTGCCGCTCTTCATCACCAGAGCAAGCCTGTTGTTAATGCTCTCATGGGTCTTCTTCTGCAAGCCAAGCAGAAAATACCAATAAAAAGAAAAGTTAAGAAGACTGAATTAAGAAATGATCAGAAACAAGAAATACGATCACAAATTCAGATTTGGGAGATCGAGGAGGAAGGATGGAAGATTCGTACTGTTTTTTTGGCGGCGACCATTGTTGCTCGAGTCTGCGGAGGCTTTGGCCAAATGCGGAGATGAGAGTGAAACCCTAGCTGCGGAGTAAGCCACCAGAGTTTAGGGTTTATATAGAGTGAATTTTCATTGTTTGGATTATAAAATAGTCCCCAAATTCTTTTGTAGGTTGCTCAAAAGCCACTTGGTTTTCTCATTGTTTACAAATGGTCTCTCTAATTAACAGACAAGCGTGAAATATCGAACTGTAGTAATTCCTTCTACTTCAAACCAACCATATTCTGAAAACCGGTCATCAAATCGCTGAAAACCGGTCATCAAACCAATGATTGATGAAGCTACCGATTCACTGGTTGAACCGATTTAATAACATATATAATTTTTTATTATTTTGTAAGTATAATATATAATTGAATATATTTTTATCATTAATTCTATAATGTATAATTGCATATATTTTTATTATTATTTTTAAAAATTAACCCTAAAAACATTTTTTAAGAGGAGCCACATACAGACCATTTCCCATACGGCCTTGGTCTTCCGACTATGACAAAGCGTAAACATACATCACAGGGACTAAAACAAGGTATATAAACATAATCACAGATCCGCACATAAAGGAGATAAGGAAACAGCATCAACATACTAAGAATTAAACACTAAAAACATACAACCTAACATCCATTCGAAGTCCAGCGCTCTGAATTTAAGAACAGAAATCAAAACAAGAGTCAATAATTCTCTCATCCATGAAACCAACAGGCTGGCAAGTCCTCATCAACCTAAAGGTTCATTATCTAAGGTTGGAAAAAACCGGGACATACCCAATTGGGTTTAGAGACAAAACAAGTCAGCATTAAACCCATCCAAAGCCCATTGCAAATTCACGATTAATCGAACACAAGAATCCCACCAACAAAAAACCAGCACCAGCAGCAAAACTCTTAAAACTCGACCATCATCCTAAAAGCCGACTGACACCTGCAGACCTGCAAAGACGTAATTCATAATATATTTCTCTTACCGATTTTTTACTTTTTTTCTAACTAACCAAGTTCTATCAGATTAGTCGATATCCAGATATAGAGCTCTGCCAATTTTCTAAAGTAACACAACCTAAATTTCCCTACTAATTAACAACATTCTTCCCTTGTTCCTTAGTCTTTGCTGCAACTTCTTCATCGGACAACGGCAAGTAGTAAATTCTTGGGGTGGCTTTAGTTTTCCGGAAAAGATCGTCAAGTGTGACTAACGGTGGCTCAGCCTTTTCCGCCAATGGAGGTGGCGGCGGCGGAAGGTTGCTCAGCCGCTCCCTCGCCGGAATAGGGTGCTCTCTGGGCGGCGGTGGGGGTGGAAGCTGGTGGTGCCTCGGGATTTGCTGCCTAGGAGAAGGCTGAGGTGGCACATTGTTTTGTGGTGGTAAAGCTGCTGAAGGAGTTGTTGCTGGAGATTGTGGTGGGGCCTCTACTCGTGTTTTGACTTCTTGAGGTTCGACAAAATCTGCTATCAATAGGTGGCCGCCATTCAGGGGCCACTGGAGGTTGTATACAGTGTTACGGGTACCTACAGCTTCTTCAACTGATGAAAACTGCATGTGCAAAGTGAAATTATTATAATTAAGTGGCTTTATATATATATGAGGAATCGAGACTGGTCAAGTGTAGAACAGAAGGGACTGAATACAGAAGACTTGAGATTTAGCTAACAACAATGGTTCTGTTATCTGTCAGTGTGTAGAACAACAATGGTTCTGTTATCATATTATTTGAAAAGGAATACTGTTATAAAATCTACAATTGCAATATCCACCACCATTTACAAGAAAAACATAAACTCATAATAATTCTATAGGATGCAAATAAGTAAAAGTGTGGTTAAATAGCGGCCATGGGCTTGGTCGATTTCAGCCTGGCCGCCTTTTGGCAGTTTTGCAATGGCAGTACCATTGCAGCCGCCAAGCAGGGCAGCCATGGCAATGAGGTGCTGATGGCAGAAATATGTGGATTCCACCGAGATTCAGCCCTAAAAAGAAAGAAAAAGATATTGGGCTGGCCCAAATTTGCCAAAAATCAGCCTAGATCTGCGCTAAAAATAAGACGACCCTAAAAAAAGGAGAAGAGCCACCACCCGGCGACCCTACCTACAGCAATTATTATTTCTCTTTGTCATTTTTCCTCTTCCTGATCTCTGCTCATTTTCTTTTTCCCTAGCTTTTCTTTCTCTTTATATATTCCAGATCTTTTTGCTCTCTCCAATTTCCAGATTAACTTTGGTTGCCTTTGTTATTTTCAGCTCTTTATTAATCTCATTTCACTTCGCTATAATTATTTTTCCATCTCTTAATTAATATATGTGTGTGTGTGTGTGTGTATATATACTGTGCATAAATTATATATATTTACACATACATACATATATTATACAATAAATTTTTTATAAATATATATGGTGCATTAATTATATATATTTACACATACATACATATATTATACAATAAATTTTTGAGTCTACCATTTCACGAGCTTTCCGTCATATATATGGAGGTTTTTTGGCCTGAAACCATCCGCCATTGATAGCACTGATCAGGTACATAGCAGAGAGGCATATGTAATTTGAATGACCGATTCTGAGTAGGAAATTGCAATTATCTCTAATACACACACACACACACACACATATATATATATATATATATGATTCATATAGCCATACATACATATATAATAAACATAAATATTTGCACTGGATTATGAATATTGCAGTTAAAGGCACAGCACCATATTATATATGCCGTTCATAGAAGAACATGCATGAGAGTTGGCAGTGTTGTAATTACAAACAAAACTTACAGAGACATAGCAGTGGGTTTTAATTTGATCCATCCAAAAACCAGTAACGTTGCCTGTTTTGCCAAGAAGCTCTTGTACTTGTTTTAAAGTAAAAGGGCGTAGAAAACGATCAATTCGGAGAGAATTAGTGGGGACCCTCCGTGATGGCGGAACTGTATAAAAGGCAAATATAACATATTTTATTTCAGAAAATGAAATAACCAGTAATCAAACAAACTGTTATGGCAACAAGGAATTCCAGAAGTTACCAACACGCTCCTTTGGTGCTTCTTCTTTAACTGGGGGAGTACGTTCAGAGACACCCATGGGCATTGTTGAAGTAACTTTGGTACTACTTTGTGGCCCGAGAGTTTTTAAGCCCTCGGCATTCCAACTGCGTGCTTTTTTCACAGGGTCATTATTCCCAACCAGGGCTTGCTCTGGAATGTCTGAGAATTGATAACAATTATTGCAGCAGTTATTGAAAAAAAGACAGAAGCAAGAAAGAAAAAAAAAAAGGAAAAAGAAAATAGAGAGGTTAGAGAGAATTTCAATGAGCTGAAATGCTTCAGAATGTGCATTGATATTTCTCCAGGCTATTTAAATCAAAGGTTTTAACCAGGATTATTCAAAAAAGGACCAGCAGAAATACAAAACTCTTCTTCAGCAGAATGTTTTGCTTGGACTGACAGGTAGACTTAATTATGGCTCCAATAACTTCAAATAAACAATGGGTCGTAACAGTCATCACCGGTAGTAAAAGACAAAAGGCAATGTAAGAAACCATATTTATTTGCAATATCTCCCAAGACCTACTTTCGTCAAAAGTCTGGAGAAAATAGCATTACAGGAATTAACATGTATTCCCTTAATGACAAGATGTACTATGTTAATTTACCCCGACATCAACCTGCTAATCAGAAACCTATTTTAAGAACACAAATTCTTCTCCTCCCAGTAGCAAAACACAATTAAGCATTCGTGCATCCACTGCACCTAAGCTAGAAAATGCAATGTGGAGGGAAGAATAACCTGAATACAACATTCAAATTAACATTCTATCCACAAATGCAAGTTTCATTACCAAACACAAGGCAGATAACTTGCACATAGTTAACAATATCAATGCATCATGCCTATAAAGTAAATGAGAAAAATATAAAACTACACAACAAAAATAATACAACTCTTACCATCAAACTTCCTTTTCACCGATGCCACTGTAGAGACAGTCTCATTTTCAGCCTGGTCAGGTCTGCTTGTGACAGTCTTATCATGACTAACAACATCAACATTATCCTCTTCTTTCGGAGCAGGCCTCCCAGATTTTTCCACATATTCATCAATTTTACTATCCACTATATCCTCCTCCATAGAATCATCACCAGAGCTCCTGTCTAAATTTAATTTCTCGTTAACCAAATCCTCCCCATCTATGTTCTTGAGACTATCAACCATTTCTTCATGGCTACCGCCAGTGACTTCAACAGATACAATTTCATCAACAGGCCCTTCAACATCTTTCTTTTCAAGTGGCTCGTCTTCAAGTGGCTCTTCCGTTTCCTTTTTCCCAAGTGGCTCTTTAACATCCAAGGGATGTGATTCACCATCATGGCCGGCATTGATTAATTCTAGTGGGACATTATCAGTAATTGCATCTACCTTAAGTTCAACTTTTTCAGTAATGGAAACAGATTCAGTAGATACAGAGTCAGATTTTACTTGAAATCCTAAATCAGTGTCAACCTCAGGTACCTGATGCTTCAATGGCTGGACACCAGAATTCGGTTCTGGATACTTGGGTTCATCACTTTCCATCTGAACAGATGAGTTCAAGAATTCACTCTGAGCTGCACTATATGGCTCCAAAGGTTTGCTGCTCTCATTGATCACATGTAATTGAAATTTGGGATCAGAAGGTTCGACATTAGCATCTTCAGTTGACCCATCATTTTGTAAGATTTCTTCACTCACAACTGTGACAATCTCCACCTTCTCAGTTATCACAACAGTAGTTTCCAAAGCAGCAGCTTGAGTATAATTGCCTCCTTCCAGTTCAGCAGCCTTGGTCTCTTGTTCTAAGCTAACTTCAACCTTGCCTTCAAACAATGACCTGTGATCATCCATCTCACACTCAGTCTTCAAATCCACTTTTTCATCCATGCTTATACCTACATCTGCGAAATCCTTGTCCCCTCCAGAAACATCAGTTTCTGGATTTTCTTGTTTAGTGGGCAACTCGGATTGGATTGCGTCGTTTTCATGATTTCCTGCATCCTCGGCATTTTCGCGCTCAATGCGAACAGCTTCATCCAGACGTTTCACGAGTTCATCTTTCAATCCTTTAGTAGTCAATTTACGTTTCTTGAGTTCTTCCCTCAACTCAGTGACCTTCCACTGATCGAGAGTTCTGTTGCCAAGTGTGACGTATGGTGATGACATCTTATATACTCCCAAAACTACCCTCTGCCAATGCGTTACCTGGAATCATATGAATAAGACATTTTGTGCTAGTAAAATACTGAACGAGCGATGTGTTGAAAACATGAAATAAAAAAATAGCGGGACAACAAAGGACCCAATTAGCAAATTGAAGTTCAGTAACGTGCCTAATAGAAGACGTATTTGCATCAGTATAGTATGTCTAAAGCCTAAGGAAAATGAAATTGGATTAGTAAATTATTTCTCAATTTTGAAGGAAAGTTTTGCAGGCTAATGAGCTCACAGGCCCCACAACTCCACTGAAGCCTCCATACACCATACATAGCAAAGTCTCAAAAGCAATGAACACTAGTGACCAAAATATATATATATATATATATATATATATATATATTTCTCTTCAATAAAAAGAATCATTAAGATGCAGGATAAACGAACATCATGTCATCTCATCACTTCAACTGTTATTTTCCTTCCAGGCTTTCACTGGGTGTAACAAAATAAGCAAATAAAATAAAGCAGAATTTTAGACAACGACAATTATATCACGCAGCATTTATAAATTCAATTATGATCCAACTGTAAACAAAAATCAAATGTTGAAGTGAAGATACTCAACACCACTGTACATGAAACCTCTCAAACTATTACACAAAAAGTGCAATAAAGAACATTTCAATCTCGCAAATTAAGTCCATAATAGCATATCAATACAACTTCATTTAAAATATCAAGAACAACAAAAAAAAGAACCGACAAAGAAAATACAACAGAAGGCAAAACCGCAAATGTAAGAAAGGTAACACTCACAGTCGATGATTTGATTGTCAGGAACCGGACGTATAGCCGAAAAGAGCCCACAATTTACGAGGAAAGAAGATATGGATATATATAAAACCCTAGTTCCATCACAACACAAAAACAATAATCAGATGAAAAATAAAATCAGAAGAAAAAAAAGCAGAAAAAACAAGTTTGAAAATTCGGAAACAAAAGACAGTTAGATTTTTTTCTTATCCGAAAAACTGTGATCAGGAAAATAGACAATATCACGAGCGAGAGGGCTGCAAGATGGAAGGGCTGTTTTCTTGTTGATACAATAAATTGGGAGAGAGGGGGATATGAAGGAACGAAATGTTTACGGAAATGCCCCTCTGTAGACATGGCCAAAATTCGGGCCGGGTCCCGCTGGGTTGCTGGGCTCAAAAACAATGACACTGAACCGGCACGGACCTATACTCGTGCCTGGTCCGTGTCCGGGTCGGGTCGTGTCCGGGCCGTGCCGGGTCCGGGCCGGTTTCGTGTTTTTTCTAAAAAATAGTAGAAAAAAATAAAAAAAAAAATGAAAAGAAGGGTCGTCGACCCGGCCCGACCCGGCCTGGCCCTGACCCTCCGGGCTGGGTCATCAAATGGATGACCCTTACGCGGCCCGTCTGAAATCCGGGTCGGTCCCGAACCCTTGGTCAACGAGTTTGAGCGGGTCGGGTCCGGGCCGGGTCAGGGCCGGGTCGCCGGGCCGGGTGACCCTTGGCCATGTCTACCCCTCTGCCCTTTTTAGCAAAAATTTTCATATTCCACTTTTTTTTTAGCATACTAATATTAAAATTAATTATTATGATTATAACGGCTTATTTAGTAATTTTAACTTTTATTCTACATATTTTTTTAAATAGAATGACTGCAAATTACTCTATAAAAACTTGTGGGTATAATACAAAAAATAAAAATAAAAAATAGTTCATATAAAAGACAATTTATTGTTGCACTTTTTTAAAAAATATATTCATTTAAATAAAATTCATAGTCTCAAATAGTAGTAGTGAAGTGAATAAGATTTCACCCAGCTCCTTCAACTCGAACGGCCACCGGACCTGCAAGAACCCAACGCCGGGAAGGGTCCCGGCGTCGGGCCTCCGACGCTCAAGTCAGTATCACTCCAAATCCAAGAGTATAATTATGAGTGTAGAGAGAATGAGAGAATGGGATACCTTAGCCCCCTTTTATAGGGGGAGTGTACCTTATGGCCCAAGTTGGGCTTGTCCAATAGCATCATGCCACGTGTCCTAGCCATGTATAGGCATATTCTTCAATATATTCCCTTCTTATCCATTAAGACTGGTCTAGTATATAATATCCTATATCATCTAGTCCCCCCACTCTGGTCGAGTAAGCATGACTCGATCCAAGAGTGAAATTTCTCTTCGAGTTGTTTCCGTCAACCTGCCACTGAGGTTATAATTTGAATAAATCATCGACCACCAAATAGTCACTAAACCTCCAAATGAGCATCGGGACCCCAAATGAACACTGAATGACCACTAAAGTCAAAAACCGAAAGACCTGCTACTGAGGTCGAATACCGAAAGACCTGCCTCTGAGGTAAAATACCGAGAGACCCACCACTGGGGTCGAACACCGAAAGCTGAACGACCACTAAGGCCGAAAACCGAATGACCCGCCACTGGGGTCGAACACCAAAAACTGAACGACCACTGAGGTCGAAAACCGAATGACCCGCCACTAGGGTCGAACACCAAAAGTCGAGCGACCACTTAGGTCGAAAATCGAGAGACACGCCACTGGGGTCGAACACCAAGAGTTGAACGACCACTGAGGTCGAAAACCGAATGACCCGTCACTGGGGTCGAACACCAAAAGTCGAGCGACCACTTAGGTCGAAAACCGAGAGACCCGCCACTGGGGTCGAACACCGAAAGCTGAACGACCATTGAGGTCAAAAACCGAGTGACCCGCCACTGGGGTCGAACACCGAAAGCTGAACGACCACTGAGGTCAAAAACCGAGTGACCCGCCACTGGGGTCGAACACCGAAAGTTGAATGACCACTGAGGTCGAAAACCGGGAACCGAGTGACCGGCGATGAGGTCGAAAATTGAAAACCGAAGTATTGAATTTAAAAATTTGAACTTACGTCTTGTTGTTTTTCGATCACCATGTTCGAGCTCTCTTCATTCAAAACCAAACCTTTCCTACCACCTCCTTCTATCATTGCCCCCTCAGTTCAAAATTTGAAATTCAACCCTGTTGTTTATCCTCTCGAAAACCGGATGTCCTGACACCACACTGAAGTCGAAAGTCGAACTTTGACAAAACCAAATAAAATCATCAACCTTAATAACTTAGCTCCGTAAACTGCTCCGAGTGAACTCCCTCGACCTGCCACCAAGGTCAAAAAATAAATTCGACAAGACCAAGCTATGCGAAAACCAACAACCTGCTCGAACAATAATTAATACCACCGACCTATCACTGCTCGAGCAATAATGAATATCAACAAAACCAGAATCAAGTAAACCATCATCCTGCCACCGAGGTCTACACGAGCTATCCGTAATGAACTCCATCTTCTCTTGAAGTCGAAAAAATAAATTCGACGAAACTAAGAATCAAATAAAGATCATCGACCTGCCACTGAGGTCTGCTCGAGCTATCCGTAATGAACTCCATCTCCCTGCCCTTGAAGTCGAAAAATAAATTTGACGAAACCAAGAATCGATTAAAGATTATCGACCTGCCACTGAGGTCTGCTCGAGCTATCCGTAATGTACTCCATCTACCTTCTCTTGAAGTCGAAATAAATTCGACGAAACCAAGAATCGAATAATGATCATCGACCTACCACCGAGGTCTCCAATAGGATCCATGTCTTCACCGACCCAACACTAGGATCGACCACCCAGCCCAGAGGCCTTAATCATGGTGGATTTTGGTCTTCAAACACATGTCCATCCTCGAAGGAGTGTTCGTTACATGTGACCACCCAGCCCGGAGGCCTTAGTCATGGTGGATTTTGGTCTTCGAATTCGTGTCCACCCTCGAAGGAGTGGTCGTTACATGTGACCACCCAGCCCGGAGGCCTTAGTCATGGTGGATTTTGGTCTTCGAACACGTGTCCACCCTCGAAGGAGTGGTCGTTACATGTGATCACCCAGCCCGGAGGCCTTAGTCATGGTGGATTTTGGTCTTCGAACACATGTCCACCCTCGAAGGAGTGGTCGTTACATGTGACCACCCAGCCCGGAGACCTTAGTCATGGTGGATTTTGGTCGTTAATGATAATAATAATAACAATAATATTTAATGTCTCCTATATAGATATTATGACACTTATGATTATATTTATATTTCTATATATATATAATTATAGGAAAAGAATTTAATGCAAAAATAAAATCCGCTCATTTTGTTCAACTAATTGTAAAAAGAAATTGGTACATTTTGCATTAAACAATTAATTGTATTACATATTTTTTTTATTACATAATAACTAACACTAACTAATCATAAGTCACACTAACGGCTATATAAAAGTTTATACATACAAAAAATATATTTATTTATTTTTTAAATTTGTTATTCAAAATAATTATTCTTTTTTTTGAACTCATTAAGCATTTTTTATTAAAATTAGTTAATAGCTTTTTATGGCATAGCCAAACCACTTAAATTTCCGCTCACAATTGCTATAAAAATAATTTTAATATTTTTATTTAATTAATTAGTCATAATCACTTAAAAAATCTAAAATTATACTATTGCAATCAATATAGTGATTTATATGTAGGTTATATATTTATAACTATATCTTTCATGTTTACAAACAATAAAATTTATGAAATGTGATATACTCATTATCTAATTATAATATTGAATATTATATATATACACATAAAATAACGTAAATATTTATTTACAGTCGTTGGCATGTGCGCAACATCGAATTAGAATACTAGTTTGTAGAATGAGTTGGGCCTATTAGGCTGTATTTGGTAAGCCAAATAAGTTAGCTTATAAGTTTCTCGTATTCAAATAAGTCTCCTTTGATAAGACGAATTTTTTTTAAAAGCTCGAGCTTATCTCATAAGCTACTTTAGGTAACTTTTCAAATAAGCTAGTTAAATTTTTTTATTCTAGCTAGTTGAATTTTTTTTATTTCAACTAACTTATTAGCTAATTTTACCAAACACTTTTATCAAATAAATTAACTTTTCAGGTATATGTCATAAACTATCTTATAGCTCATCAGCACAATTGATAAATTAGTGCCCACCAGCACGAGGTAGGATTGAATCTACTTTTAACAGTTGACACCATACGAAACTTCACTTTGCAAAGGACAAATGCGATAACCACGCAGTTTCAACTACCCCAAACTCCGTCTTCCCACCAACCCAACGCCGTTAACATCATCTCAACCAACCTCTTCCTCCTCTCCTGTGTGTTTAGGACATAATAACACTATGTTCTCCATTTTTCAGCATTTTATATAATTCTAAAGAAGTTCAGAAGCCTACCAAACTTTTTCTCTTGACGTAGATGGCGGCAGCCACCTCCTGCACTCACCAGGCAATAATTTCATCCGCACAGGCACAGCTCAAATCTCATCAAGACTCAACAAGGCCTTCGAAATCAATCTCTTTCTCTTCCCAATTGCAGTCTTTCTCCTTCAAGTCAGCTGTTTTTCCCACTTAATTTTTTTTGTTTACTTTCTGTGATTAATTTGCACGTCCGCGAAACGAGTTTAATTCCGGGATATTTTGGTTTGTTAGGTTAATGTGTGATCACATGTTGCTGTGTTGTTTCATAATTGAGGAAAAATTAACTGCTTAAAGTAGAATCATGAAATAGTATTTCTCCCATTTTTACTGATATAAACTTTTTTCATCAATGTACATTTTCTGTAAGTATGTGTGCCAAGTTCTTTACAGTGTGTTTGCGAGGGTAGTAATCGGATTTTAGCTGGAAAAAACTATCATACTTAGGAGTGGCAAATGTCAAGCTTTTGATTTGGGATAGATTCGATCCTATCCCATGGGCGCTAGGGTTTTCCATCTGATCACTGGATGAGAATTAGAAAGTAGAGAGGTGAACGTTTTTGATTTCCTATCATGCTTCTAGTTTGACTTCTACACACCAATAAAGCACTTTACAAACTTTGAATTCTCACTTTTGCTAACTAGCAGATGGTGATTCTGTTTGCTCACAAAGGGTTTGAGCTTCGTTACCTATTCTGTAGTGTTTATTTACGTGTTTGCCGATTCAATCATTTTACTGCCGGCAACTATCTAACTTTTAC